AAATAAGCTGAGCTGCCCACTCTGAGCTACACATCGAAACAGGCATTGGTTCTCAAGTTTGGCCTTTTTTCTGGGGGAAGACAGGCAATCTGCTGTGAACCCACCAGATTTTAAGCTACCATTCATTGAGGCAGCTTTTCTGCAACAAGAGATGAAAGCACTGACGTAAGCATCTGTGCAGAGGATGTAGATGCTGCAAGCTTAGCAGCAACAGCAGCTGCGGCAGCTTTCTTGTTTTCTTCTTCAGTAGTTCTCAAAGGTGCAAATGAAACCACAGGCTGAGGATGGGGTGGAGTGCTGATTGGCTGAGCTGAAGAAAGAGTCTGTTCTACCACCTTCATGGCTTCTGTTGCAGAAATTGTAGGCGTAGTTGGGGGAACAGGAAACGACGGTGATGTCATTCTCTTCTTCATATTGTTTGCATGCTCAACCTGAAATCGAGCAACCTGCAGGCAGAAAGAACAAATGAAATAGATTTTGACAAAGGATGTGGTATTAGAAAGAGAGGAAGATATCACAAAACTGGGGCTTATGCCCCAGCATCGTTAGAGCTAGAGGGGAGAGCATTTGAATAAAAAGATTTTTGATTCCAAATTTCAAATAAAACATATTAAATATTAAAAATAGAGGGAAAATCAAGTAAATAGCCATTCTGAGAATCAATAAGTCCATTTCTAGGATTTCATGAAAATAGTGGTATTCTTACTTGCAACTGGCTCCGGATAAGCTCCAGCTTTGATTCCTGAAGACTTTAAATCAGTTAGTAGTCAATAATGATGCAAAACTAAATTGAAATCCTATGGCTCAAGAACATATGAGGGTTGATAAAATTTACATGTTCCTGCAATGCTCCTTTAAGTTGGTAAACCAAGGCCGCCCTAGTTGCTTCAGCATTTTCCAGTTGTCCAATGCACTGCTGAAGTGCTTGCTCCTGCTGCTGTATCTCATCTATGATAGAAGAGCCATGCTGACTTCCTAACCAAAACAAAAGATGAAGAATATATAAAAGTTAATAACCAACAACTTTGTATCAGCTATTACAAGTCAGACGGGATGAGACAAATATATTGAGAATAAAGAGCTGAAACATCATATGGGAGAATGAGGAGCCAAGTCTGGATTTGAAAAGGAAATAAAAACCTAATCCCTTCCAAATGAACCACTTACACCCAAACTCCAAGGTTTCCAAGATTGTTAATAGGGTTTTCCATGCAAAACAAGAGTATCATAAATTGGAGATATTGCCCATAATAAGAGATATTTATGCAATTCCAATATCTATGTATTATCAAGAATTTAAGGTAACTAAGCTTGTTTAGGAACTATTAACTATAGGATTATTATTTGCATGAGTTTACTATTTCTGGTTTAGATAACATCTTATTTAGTTATTTTCAAAATATACATTATTCAACTAATTGGATTACCTTCTTAGTTAAGCTTATTTTCTAAGTAAATTTTAGAGTTTTTTTTATTTATTTTATATATATATATGACATAAGATCTATCTGTATGGATATATTCACCCACATTGCAGCCTCATTTACTACATGTTGGTTCACAAAAAATGGCATGAATAAAGTAGAAATTTTATAGGTATTACTGATGTAATGGCCATTGCCATGTTTGGTTGACACAGAGAACTGATTCCAAGGAGTAAGCTAGTACAAAAGAAATTGTGATTTTCTCCTTTAATAGCTATTCATGAGGAAAGGGGTAAAATTACTATTTCTAGCTTCATGTAATAGTACTGGAATATTTTTAGTCTTCATTTACAATAGAAAAGAATATCATCTTTATCTTTTAAGTTGAAAAATCAATTCACAAGTTCCCCATAGCTGCCACCATCTCTCCATGAAAAGGCAGTGGAACTCCATGAAACACACAAACTCTACAAAACGCCATCAAACTCCTTCACACGATGATGCAATACCACCCAAGTAGCATGAGTGCGGCATGAAATGCAACATTGGTCCAGTTCGAAATGGGACCAAGGATTACTGCCCTACAATTTCAATGTTTGTGTCTGCGGTGCGACTCCAAATCTATTGAAATGCAACAATTCTAAGGTCAATTCTTGCACAATTAGCTTTGGTAACCTCCTTGTGTAACACTTACATCTCCTTCCAGATAGATGCTAACCCTCATTGACACCAAAGATAATGACAAATGTTCTGAGTGGCGGCATATAGCCAAGTTGGTGACTTTAATCCTACAAGCCATGATTTTATTGGGAAGATGAAATGCTTTTGTTTTTTTGTTAAAACTATTTTTTATTTACTATTAACTATAGTTAGGACCAAATTACTTGTTATAGTTTTAAATTTAGAGAAATATAGATTTATTATTATAATGTTTGTATTTCTTTTTATTTGAAATCACTGGTTATAGTTTTAAATTTTTACGAAATATAAATTTATTATTATAATGTTTGTATTTTGTCTTTGCAAATAAAAATAAAGGGTTAACCAATATAACAAGGACATTGTAGTCATTTCAATTAGTCCATCTCCATAACAACATACCAAACAAACAATGGAACTGCTATTCTAATATGCTAACCAAACAGGATCATGTAATCACAATCAAATTACAACCTTATTCTATTATGACTTAATAGCTATTCCATTCCATCCTTCCCCTTAGTTCTCTGGCCGCCAGTAGGAGGTGGACAACACCTCCACCATTATCAACACTCAAGATTGTCAACCGATCACCCACCAAGTCTCAGATCCTACCTCCGTTATAATAAACCTCACTTGCCAGCAACACCTCAAACCATTGTTGCCTTGCTGGAACTCAACCTTAGCAGCCACATTGATGCCCACAAGATCCAATTCCAAACTACCACCTTCAAGGGAACCTAATGCCAAAAATTCAAAACCCAAAATCACCACACATGTTACAAATGCACTGTTAGCAATGAGCGAAATCCTGCCCAAGTAGTTTATAGAGCTTAAGACATCTCATGAGCAAAGCCATTTCTAGAGCTGAGTTGTTACCTTAAGTCGTCTTATGAAATGGAGCTGCATACAAAGCCAAGTGCCCTTTTTTTAACTGAAGCATTTCAAGCCACTTTCAACCCACTTCCAACCCAAATTTGAGTTGAAACTTCTGCAAGTTCATGGGGAATACTCAACCGTTTGTGCTAATTTTGAGATTTGTGGTCACAGATTTGCAATTTATACTTTTGGAGATGAATTGAGTTTGGATCTTATCCTTTAAGTCAAATCATTAAGAAAAAGTACAAGGCAATTTTGGATGGGTTCAAACAAGAGTGGATTTAACCATGTTCTCTTAGTTACATTCCCTTTATCATAAGGTTCATCAACAACCAACGAGTTTCGAGATAATTTATATAATGCTTTTTACCAAAATGGATAAGAGAAGAAAATTAAAACTAAAGTTTAACAAGGTTGCTTATATGATAGTTATTATCATATGGAAACCCCACATTATTTTCCAAGACCTAAAGTAGGGGAAAAAGTGTTCAACATGCTAGGGAAAAAAATTCACAAGAAAAACATGGAAACTTGTATCCTTTTAAAGCCGATTTGAGCCTTAAAAATAGCTTGCTAGGAATTAAGCAATATGCCTGACATGTTTACAAGACAACTGGAAGGTTCTCAATTCAAGAATATCCCAAATCTTCTGTTACACAAAAACCGAACAGTAAGAATCCGACTTCTTGTAAAAGTCAAACTCCTGTATAGATTGATATCTTAAAAAAGATCTCTCTATAAAGTAGAATCATAGTCGACTTCTATAACTAGAAGATTTTTTACTTTTATGGTACTAATTTATATTTAGTTTCATACTAAAACTCCTACTAATCTTCTCTTATATGCATTCAGATATCATAAATTAAGTGTCATGAATAAAAATTCAATAAACAGAAAATTTAATTACAACTTCTCATGGTATTAGGGCAGGATCTCTGAACCTTAAAAAATCCTTTTTTTCAATCTCTCTTACTAATGACCAACTATGGAATGGCTACAGCAAGAACCAGTGACCTCTCTAATATCACATCTCAATCTGATTGAACTATTTCTATTAAACCACCCAAATTGGAAGCCATTCAAATTCCAATCACTAGTTGCAAGCTAAATGAAAGCAATTATATCTAATAGTCCAAATCGATCAGATCTTTATCTGCAGTAGAGAGGGATAAGAATATCTCACTAGAGAAGTCACCTAATGAAGTGCCAAAGACCCAAACTTTCGATCTTGGAATATCGAGAATAATCTAGCTATGTCATGATTGATTAACTCGATGACAAATAATATTTGTAAGAATTTTTTGTTGTACAAGATGGCAAACGAATCTAAAAAACGGTTAACGAGTTCTAATGCAAAATCCAAAATTAACAGTGTAATTAAAAACTCACATAATATTCAAATATCATCAAAGATTTAAATCTTAAATAAACCTCTCTATTTAAACCACTATCAATTAAATGATAGAAACTAAGATAATTGAGAAAATACGAAAATTAGAAAAATATCACAAGAATATCTTGATAAGTCGATCCAATTCTCTATTCAACAAGAATGATGAAAAACACCTCACTTGTTGAAAAGAAACTTAGTAATTTTATTACTATTAACTTGAGTGAGTACAACCATGAATTGAAAGCTTATTTATAGTGTAAGCCATGTGCATTAAAAACAAATAAATCTCCTAAATTAATTGTAAAAATTATATAGAAAATTAAATGCCTTAAATGAGAAAATAATAAGAATTAAGAAGATTATAGCCAAAATAAGGTAGATATGATCTCTTTTTGTAAAAACCTTTTTAAATGAGGAAAATCTTAATTAATTATGGAAGAACTAGGGATAATAAAATGGCAATTTAGGGCCGGTTCTTTATGGCCTCAAGAGGACGCCAAATCTTCAAGATTCCTTCCTAACTTGTGAACCTTAGTCCTTTCGTAAGGAATTTATTTGGTTTCCTCATTTGAGGAAGATCTTGAGGTGTTTAGGAAAAGAATTAAAGAGATAGTCTAATCTTCCATAAAGAGATGAGATTGGTTGCCTTTTTAAGGAGATATGGGGAAAGGATTAAAAAGGATTAAAGAGATAGTCTAATCTTCCATAAAGAGATGAGATTGGTTGCCTTTTTAAGGAGATATGAGGAAAGGAAGACAAAAATTCTCCCTTGGGAAAGTCTTCCTCTCGGATTGGAAAGAATCCTCATGGGTGGAAGGATTTTCTTTTCCCTTTTCCACTACTCCTTTAATTTGGAGAGTATATCCCCCCATTATGCCCTTGGCCTAATGGGCTTGTTCCCATGCCTTTATGGGCTTCTTTGCTTGGTCCAACTCTTCCTTTCTCGCTTATCCATGCCTGAACAAATAATTGAAAGGCTTGTTGGAGTCTTTTAGCTCATCCTCTTGTCATGGGCCGACTTGGCATCATAATATTCTCCCAAGTGACCCAAATCCATCCAAATTGTGTGAGTATTGCTTGTATCTTCCTTGGCTGCCAACTTTCTCTTCGTTTTGGGCTTTTTTGCAAGCGATTCTCTCTTGGCTTTCTTCTTAGTTGTCCTTCTCTTCTTCTTCTTGTCTTGGATCATGGCCCATGCTTCCCATGCTCACATCATCCCCTCCTTCCTAAAAAATAATTCATCCTCAAATCAAACACTTTTTATGTAGGGGTTTCATTAAACCTACATTCTTTGAGAAAATATCCTACAAAACAATGTCATTAAATAAAGGAGGTTTAAGGTGAGTTAATAGTTTTTTTCTTGAAAGAGGGCCTCCTTAGCTCCTTCCTTTCTCTATAATAATATTCTCTCTTCATGTTACTTAGTTCTTCTTTTCCTTCGGGCTTTAGTGAATTCTTGAATTGTTATTAATCTTTAAACACCTCCTCATATGATATTAGTGCAAGTGTAAACTTCTAACCACACATGCTAAATGAAAAACGATTTCCAAAGCCATCATAAGTTACATGCTTATCATACTGTCAAAGTCTTCCTAGTAAGATGTGACTAATATCTGTTTAGTCATCTTCATCTCTCCATAATCAGTCAACCACAACTTGTAAGGATGAGAATGGCGCGTACGTCAAACTAAGTTTATTAACAAGAATAATACTGCCAATGTAGTGCAACTACCCACATCTATAATAAGACTACATACCTTCCCGTTTACAAGGCAACAGGTGGGGAAGATATTCTCTTTTTGGTTACTTTCTTCAAACTTGACTTGGGCATTCAGAATTCTCCTAATAACCAAAGCTTCCTCCTAGGCTGAATATTCAACATTTTCCTTAACATCCTTCATTGGTGGTATGCTGTCATTATCTTCATTATCATAGTCACTACCACTATTAATTCTGTCATAATCTCTCAATAGTATGATCTTCTTATTTGAGCATTGAGATACGATGTGTATGATTTTGAGACACTTGAAGCAATTAATTATACTATACTTTTGGGATGAATTAGGTATCTCACTTTTGGTATTTGGCGGTGTAGACTTTTCCTTCATCACATATGCTCCCTTCTTTTCCTCTTTCTTGGGCCATTCTGAACTGTAGATAGGAGTGACATGTGACGTGCCCCTCCCTTCTACTTGAGCTACTTCTTGATCTTCATGGTCATATGCACCATGTCCTCTAACTCCAAGTAGTTTTGCAACTCTACACTGTTGGCAATTTCCTTATTAAAACCTCCCAAAAAACTTGTCATGGTAGCCTTGGGATCTTTTTCGATATTAAACCTAATCATGGCCATCTCCATCTCCTTATGATGATCCTCGACAGACATAGATCCCCACGTCAAATGTTGTAATTTCAAGTACAGTTCACTATAAAGGGTCATTGACAAGGTACTTGGGGAATGCCAACATACTTTTGTGGGGGTTAGGAAAATCTTGGATGCAGCCTTAATTGCTAATAAAGTGGTTGATGAACTCATTTATAGGAAACAAAGAGTAATGTGCAAGTTGGATATGGAAAAGGCATATAACAATGTGCATTGGCGATTTGTGGATTACATGCTAAGAATGATGGGTTTTGGAGAAAAATGGAGGCGTTAGATGAAAGCTTTTATTACTACTACTTCTCTTCCGATCTTTGTCAATGAAGGTTCGTGTTCTTTCTTTTCAGCCTCTTGTGGTTTGAGACAAGGTGATCCACCATCGCCATTTACTCTTCATCATAGTCATGAAAGGTTTGAATGTTACGCTTACAATGGCCAACGAATGTGAGTTGTTTAGATGCTTAAGAGTGGGGTTGGGGGACCGTTTCGAGGAGATAACTTATTCATGTTTTGTTGATGATATCATGTTTTTTTTTGAACCAAAGAGAGGAGCTTTATTGCATATCATGTGTTTTGATGGACTTTCAAATAGTGTCCGCACATAACATCAATCTTGCCAAGACGGAAGTTGTGAGGTTGGGCTCGAAAGGGGATCGGGATGGGTTGGCAAGGGCTTTGTGGTGCAAACTTGTTAGCTTACAAATCACGTATTTGGGTCTGCCTTTAGGTTTTAGATTTAAAGAGGAAAGAATATGGGATCTAGAGGTGAACAGATTTGAGAAGAGATTGGCGTGATGGAAATGAGCTATGCTATCTAAAGGAGGTAGGTTCACGCTTATCAAGAGCACTCACAGTAATCTACCCATCTAATTCACGTCTCTTATGACAATCTCGAAAGGTGTGGTCAAGAGATTACAAGTTATTCAGAATCATTTCCTATGGGGTGACACGGGGGAGAGTAGGAAGTATCATTTGGTTGCACGGAATGAGCTTAAAAAACCTATGCATGTTGGTGGGTTTGGCCTGCATTCATTGATTGAGATGAATGAAAAGCTACAAGGTAAGTGGCTATAAAGATTCATCAATGGGGAAGGTGCTATGTGAAGAATAACTATAATGGCTAAATATGGAAGAGATGATAGCAAGAGTTTTACAAAATTGGGTTCTAGATCACATGGGAAGAGTTCATGGAAAAAGATAGGTTTAGGGTGGGAGAACTTTCATAAGAACATCAGTTGGACAGTTGGTAGGGAGGATAGAATCAAATTGTGGGAAGACTCCTAGGGTTAGGTTTCCACATATCGCTTAGAGGAAGAATATCAAGATTTGTGAATCTATTGCGGAAGTTAGTGGAGGGATGAGGGAATGGAAAGTATTTATGTCGACAAACCTAAATGACTAAGAGATTGGTGAGTTTGAGGAACTACTGCATATCCTTTCTCTTATTACTTTGAATCAAGATACCAACATTCTATAGTGGAAGCTCACAGCAGATGGTTTGGTCACAGTAAAATCTTCTCCAAGAATCTATTCAAGTATGATGAATGTGGAAGCATATTCCCCTTATCAATAGTTGTGGAAGCCAAGAATACCCTCCCAAGTTCCGTTTTTCACTTGGAAGGTATAAGGCATGCACTGAATGTTGCCTGACTATTGATGAATTAAGGAAGAGGTGAAAGATTCTAGTTAATGCGTGTTATTTTTGTAAAAGGGCAAAGGAGACTTGTAATTATCTTTTTCTTTGGTGTCTCCTTATATACAAGTTATGGATTATGGTTTATGGCTTGCTTGGGATTGGTTGGGCGGTGGCAGGGCATAAGTGGCTGAAGGAAACAGATAGAGATCATTCTCTTACCATATTCTGGGTAGTGTAGAATGAGAGAAATAGAAGAGTTTTTTATGAGGTTGAGGATTTTGATGGTTTTGATATACTTCAAAATATATGTTCTAAACTCTTGATTTTTTTATACGGGATTATCCTTTATGTTCTATAGAAGATATTATCAAACCTTGAGACAGCAGCATGTTTGCGGAGGTATTGGGATGTAAAGCTGTTAACTTCCCTTTGAAATATCTAGGGGTCCTTTTGGGTGCTAAATATAAAGAAAAAATCACTTGGGACCGATTATTGAACGATTAGAGAAAAGATTTGCGGGATAAAAACGTAATTTCTTGTCAAAAGGTGGAAGGCTTACTCTAATCAAAAGTACAATGGTCAATCTTCCTATCTACCATCTCTCCACTCTTACAATTCCAAGTAACATTGCAAAGAAACTAGAAGCAATTCAATGTAGATTCCTTTGGGGTAATGAGATTAATAACCGGAAGTATCATTTGGTGAAATGGGAAGAAATTAAAAAACCTATGGATAGAGGTGGACTGGGATTAAGGTCCATTGCTACCATGAATATTGCCCTACAAAGGAAATGGTTATGAAAATTTTTGGTGGATGGTAACTGATTGTGGAGGAGCATAGTTGCAGCAAGATGGGGAGATTTGTCAACTGCAGATTTGCCTTCTAGGAAAGGCAGAAATCACATCTGCAGACCGCGTGGTAGAGCTTTTTGGAAGAAAATCCTCCTACAGTGGCCGAAATTCAGACAATGCATAAAATGGCAAATTGGTAATGGATGTAAAATGAGATTTTGACTTGATGTTTGAATTGGAACGGGTGCTCTTATGATGCGATTTCAAAGGTTATTTGAGATTGCCCAGTCAAAACAGATGCTGCTTAAAGAAGCCTATCGAATGTGCAATAACAGTATTGAATGGTCGGTAAATGCTTCAAGAAACCTAAATGACTGGGAAGTAAATGAGTATGCTGAATTATTAGCACTTTTGGAAACTCAGCAAATAAAAACTTGGGAGAACAAGGTGGTGTGTAAGCTGGAAAAGAGCGGAAATGTTTTTGTGGGGTCGTATTAAAGGCAACTGGCTGGTGAAAATTAGAAGGTTTTATATAAATTCCCAGCTAAACAGATTTGAAAAGCAAAGGTGACTCCGAGAATTGCTTTTTTCACTTGAGAAGCTTGTAGGGAAAGTATACTCATTATTGATAAGCTTAGGAAAAAGGGTCAGATCATTGTTAATTGTTGTTATCTCTGTTTGAGTACGGAAGAGTCTTGTAATCACTTACTTGTTTGGTGATACCACGACATACAGACTTTGGAACATGATCTATTGACTATTAGGAATTAATTGGGTGATCTCTGAGACTGTTTGTGGGGAATTATGGGCTTGGGAAGGGATAGGTATCCAAAGGAAAGTAGTTAATTTAATTCTTTTGACCATTTTTTGGATTATTTGAAAAGAGAAGAATGCTAGAGCCTTTGAGGGCAAACCTTACACTTATATAAATCAAGAGATAGGAGGATTCATTATTTTAGGACCAGTATGTTAGGTCATGATATTATTAGTGAAACTATAACCACATTGTAAATTTGTACATGTGCGATACCCCCTTTTTTGGTACCTTTTATTTCAAAAAAAAAAATAAGATTTATCAAACCTTGTAGATAATTTGATAGACATGTAAATATTTTTTGTATATGGGCGACGCTCCCTTGGTGCCTATAGTAATACACTTCACTGTTTATATTTAAAAAATAATAAATCACTCACATAATTATAGTTTGTCCACATAATAATAAGATTAGAATCTTCAAATATAAAACTATAATAAAAAATAACTACTAACTATATAAGAAAAGAGAATCTTAACAAAGTTCTGCTCCTTGCTAGTTTTTCTTGATATCCATTCCTAAGGTCACAAAATGTCTTTTCCTAATGCATGTGGTAAGATCACCAAATATTAAGCTTGTGACTTGTAACTCCTACCATATTTGACTTGCCACAGAACGGACAAAATGACAAGCCTCATTTGAAATGACAGATGAAAGTAGAAATATTGACCCTTCCGGCAAACTCTTACCTTGATTTGATGCACTATCAACATCTTCCCCAATTTTACTCAAATGATGTACAGCAGTATTACACATATTGAAAGCTGTCTCTTCATTAGAATGATCATCGAACACCGTTTGAAAGGCAGTTAGAATCTTTTCTGGAAGACCCCCAATAGCCAATTTCTGAAGAGAAAGCAAAGCAAAAATAAATCCCAAATTCATAATGGATAGATGTATTTGCAAGACATTATCATTATATGAATGAAAAAGACAACTAAGGACGATATGTAATATAAAAAATAGAGATAAATGCTTACAATTCTCACTGAATGAGCATCCTTTTTCACTATCTTTATGGGATTTGTGCCCTTGCCATTGCTCACTACAACAGAAGAAGGACTCTTGCCAAGCATTTCATCTTTTAGACTTTGCCCTCGAGAACCAAAAACTTTCCTTTCTTCCCATATGTCAACCTGAAAAATAACCACACCAATAATCCCAACCCACATGGGAGAAACAAAGCAAAAAAAAAAAAAAAATTAGAGAGAGAAACTCTCAGATGAAGAATACTATAGAACAGCACGAAGTAGCAAAAGCCCATGAAAATACTTATGTAACATAACAGAAGGGGGGGAAAAGAGGAGATGAAACAAAAAATTTCCATGAAAACCATTTATATGATTTTCTCAAGGGGATCATATATCAGAAATCAGGATATTATATAACATACTCCACCATCCAAACATATTTTAAGGGGAAAACAAAAAAGGCAATAAAAACAACTTTTCCTTATCATCCTGTGATCAAGATACCACGTCATTTACTGTCAAAAAACAGTGTTCAATCTCATTTTCCAGCTAAATCTTACATCCTAACTAATTAAAAAAAGTTCTCTTCTCTGTTTCTGGAACAAAAATAAGCAAAATAAAACAAATATGAGGAAAAGGTTGCCAGGTAAACAGCATAAGAAATAAACATTAGCTTGGCATAGGAACAAGAAGCCAAACCAATAAAAGAGAGCACCACTAAAAAGCTAAACCAGTTTTGGGCAACAAACAACAGCAAGAGTAAAGAAAACACAGAAAATTTTGACTATTAGTCTTCAATGTAGCATATAGCAAACAATTTAACGGAGACTGCTGATAACTAAGTACTACTTACGAGTCTTGCTACTGCTTTCTTTCCATACTCATCACCACTTTCATAAACATGTTTGAGAGCAGCAGGAAGAACTTTCCAGAACTCATTCACAAACTCACTGCCTTTTCGTCTACTGTTTTGCAAAATGTCATTAGCCAGATAAAGGAAGGAAACACACTGCTCTTTCTGGGAAGAGCTGAACAATTTATCCCAAGTTTCAACAATCTGTTTTGCCTTTTTCCTGTGAGAAATACACCATCGAGATAATGCTGGACCGATGTTAAGGCTAACCTATAACATATTTAATCAATTCAAAAGAGAACTCAGCACAGAAGGAAGATAAGATTGACCAATAAGAGGGAAATAATACTTTCTCCAGTATCATCTCTCCAAAGAAACTATTCCAGCTCCTTATAGTTACGCTTAAAATTAGCTTCTATAGTTTTGGAACATGTACCAAGTACTGGAGAAAAAAACAATATAACAAAACCCTTGAACAGCATTTCTTTAAAAAAAAAACACAATCAATCACCATTACAACAGGCCACCAATACACTGATCATGTTACTCACAAGCACAAAATGACATAAAAAAATTAGAAAATGATTAGCAGATAAAATCAAAGGGAAGGAAAGGAAATAAAGAATAATCACTACTTTATTTCAAGGACTACAGATCTACCCATGAATAAAACAATAACTATGTCAAACATCCAGTTCTTACATGGAAGAATAAAGTCCAAATTTGGTCCATGAAAATATGCCCTAGTTTTTATTTTCAAAATTCGCAACAGAAACAGATTTCTGTTTTTCATTTAAATTTTATAAAACATGTTTGTTTCGCTGTTAAACTTAGAAACAGTTTTTCTGAATGAGAGGAAACTGGTTGTTAAAACTTTCTGTCGTTTTGACTTTCATTTTCTGTTTGGGTAGGCTTAGCCTGTTATTTGGGTGCTAAGTTCAATAGAACTATTTCTTAGGTTCAATGCTTGATTCAAGAGTAATTTAGAGTTTAGGAATATATAATGGCTTAAGAATAATAATGATTTTCCTTTAATTTATAGACAAAAATTAAGAACTAGAAAAAGGTTAGAATTGTTTAACTCCATAAAAATTTTGAAAAGCAGACATCTGAAATTTCAAGAGCAAATAAAACATTTTACAACTTCAAAAGAGAGTCAATACATTACAAGCTCCAAAAGAAGTAATAAATAATTTTTAGGTCGTCTCATTAAAAACAATGTTGTTTAAGTGACTATCCGACTCTTCATTTTGGACTCTAAAAGGCAAAAGGCTGTCAAGAGGCTTAAGAGTTTAGAACTCTTCACTGTGCAGTCTCTCTCCCTACCCTTCTTCTCTCTCCATCACAGAACATGCAGAGTCCAGGAGTATCATTCCTCTTCCTTTCCTCTCCAATCTCAGAAATTACAGAGTCTATTAGTCCTATTATAGCTTAACTTTTTACCTTTCAATCTTCGAATTTCTATTTCTACTCCCATAATATCTCTGTAAAACAAATAAGAAAGGTCATATTATCTATCTTTTCACTCTAAAATTTAATTGGAGCTTAATTTCTGCTCCTAAATTTGCTTCTCCCATCTCATAAATCCATCCATCTCAAAAATCCAATCTGAGAACAAATAACCAGAATGGTCTTTAATCATGATTCAATTCGAAATTTCCTACATGCATGAAAAAGGGGGTACAAGCAATCCATGGGTCAAACAACCACTATATAGAGGTGGTTTTGGGGGTGAGTTCTTTAATTAACTTCAAAAGAAAGCGACTGACTAACTAACAACGGAGATCTATATAGTAAAGACTGTTGGATTTCAGTCACATCAATGGTGTCTGAAACCCATGCCTTTTTTTATGTAGAAAATTATATATTATTAAAGTTAGATAAAAAAAAAAGCATTTTCCTCCAAAAAGGGAAAAAGAAAACACAAAAAAAGGAAGACTGGCCAAACTATGGAAGGAAAAAGAACTCAATGGAGAACAGCCAGGCAATCCTTTATACAAAAGAGCCAAAGAAGTATCCTGGTAAAGGCTATACACCTTACTCAGAGAGTCTGAAACTATTCAAACAAATAAGAAAGGGGGAACATGACACTTAAAGATCCTTGCATTTCTCTCCAATCGCAGAACCCAAAAGTCCAGCAAAGCATAGAACGTCTGCCAAGCAGTTTATCTTCCTTTTTCTAGATGAGAAACCTAAGAAACACAGAAAGTGTAAAATAAACCAGACAGAAGTCTCCAAATCCCAGTGCAAAAACATATAAACACGAGGAAGGAGGTTTTGATAGAATTTAATAGTTGGTTCCAAACCCTGAATTTTTTAATTAAGGGTCAGCCTCTTCACTTTTCTAATGATTTTGGGGACCTTATTGATATTTTAATCAATATATAAATATTATTGTATACGGGTTTGCACCCTCTTGATGCCTGCGAATGAATCTTATTATATTTTTTATTTTCAAATATATATATATAATGACGAGACTCAGCATTATAAAAACACTTTACACACACCCCAGTACAAAGCTGTCATGTGCCAAATCAGCAATTCACACGTGCCCATAAGAACAATGCAGAAAAACCTTTTAGCAATTCCTTGGCAATTTGTTTTAAACTGTTTGTACTCCTCCTTTTCATTTAGATGTAGGAATACATGATTCCATAGAATTCTATAGTTTTTTCTTAGAGGTAGGAAGATATGTAATCTAAAGGAAAATAAGCTATCCTCCAAAGAGATAAAAACAAGAACACATTAAGATCAACACGAAAGCTAAGAAACAAAACATAATCAATTCAAAATAGAAACCCAAGGGGATGGACTCTTGACTCTCTCTTTTCTCTCTCTCTCTTTCTCACACTAAATGAATAGGAAACCCTAAATCTGGCTTCATTTAAATGCCGAAAAGGGATGAATCTTATAGCACTACTGAAAGGAAACAAGGGGATGGTGAAGGGGGGTCCGCCGACCTTGGCCAACCAACGGGAATGGCGTCTCAATGGAAACATTTCTTCCTTCCTGATGTGATTAACGAGGCAAAGGACAAAGATGTAACACGCATTTGCAAGAACGGAAGGGGTCTGAGGGCATCAGTCACTCTGATAGGCAATGCAATAAAGTGGATTATTGATGCATTTGCTGACTTCTCCTAGCGAAAGTGGGGCAAGACGTGGGGGATGAAGTTCAATGGATGGAGAAGTAGCTCTTCATTGCACTAGGAAGCAATAGGTTTGGTCGTCATCTGTCCTGACTGAAGTGAGAGACAGAGATAAGGGAAGAACGAGGATTTTCATTCCAGCGGGAGAGGAAGTTGGGGGGTGGTGGAAAATGATGAAAGCAACATATGAGTTGACAAGCCAGCCCATTGTAAACCCAGATAAAGTGATGGTTAAAGGGGCATAAAGGATAGGTAGGAAGAATGAATCTACTGACAAGTGCCTCAGGAGGAAAGTTCTTATTCCATGCCCACATTGTGGAGTTAATCTCGGCATCTCGGTGGAACTAGCGGGTGGATTGTCTTTTGCATAAATTCTTGGCCGCAAAGCAGGGGAAGGGAGTCAGGTAGGGCAAATGTGACTCATGGTACGATCGGATCCGGATCAAGCCATTTTCGAATTTCAAAATAGTAAAAATGGGAATCACGTGAGAGAGGAGAAATTGGACCTGGCAGGTGGGCCAAAGGGTAATGGGCTGACGAAAGGAACAAGATTGGGATCACGGGGTGGAAGGCATCTATTGTGGGCTGAAAAAGGAAAGTGGGTTGAACAACTTGGGCCGAACAGGAATGTGGGTCACAATAGATTCAAATGGGACTGAAGACCCAAAAAAAGGGGTTTAAACAAGGTCTCACCTAAAGACAAACATAATGAGCAGGTCGGGGTACAATCCTTTTTTGCATTGAAACTGGACAAGGGATGTGCGGAAGAGGATACTAGGGTTGATCAAAGGAGTAAAGACGGTAATGTGGGTGAGGAAGAAGCGATTGATCTCAGTAAACAGAATGAGCCAGTGATCGAGAGAAATGAGGAATTTTTGGTGGTTAATGGGGAAGACAAAGAACAGATGAAAGAGAAGGGAATTGCGAAAGCCGAGTTGGACATGGACTGTTCGTTGGGGGGGGGGGGATGGAGTTGATTTTGTTTGACACATATATGCTCGACAACACTGTAAGGGAAGAGTTGGATGTGAATCCTATTCAGTATGAGGAACTATAACTAACGCAGATCGATGAAGAGGAAATGGGTGGGGATTATTGAGAAGTTATACGCGGATTGGGTTTTGGAGAATTTCCGTAAATTTAGCCGCATGTTTGGGGTTACGCTTGAGAGTTTAAAGGACAAAGTATTGAGCTTGATTGCGAACATTGAGGTCAGATATGGAAATTGCAGGAATGAGGTTGCTTCAGTGGAGAA